AAGTGGCAGCTCCGAGACCAGGTGCTCTCCAGGAGGTCCCTGTCCCTGCTTTAACTATAGAATTAAAGTGCATAAGGCGTTTTGCCTTTGGATTTCCTGGATGGGTGACTTTCTGCGCAGCCCAGCGGCAGGAGAAATGGCTCAGGGCAGCAGGACGGTGAGTGGAGCACTAGGACAGGAGCAGGACTGCCTGACCCCAAGCCCTTCCTGCCTCCTGGTGGAGGGGGGAAAACCACAAGCCTGCCAGGTCTGCTCTCCAGAGACCTAGAGCATTGCGCTTGTAATTTAACCTGCGATCCCAATCAGCCACCCTTTTATTTAAAGCAAAAAATAATAATAATAATACTAACACTTCCTTCCACCCTGTTGTCAGTTATTGTTCCTGAAAGCACTGCTGCTGTTGGTTTTTAGGGGAAGAGCCATGGCCTGGCCGTAGCACACGTGCTGCCGTGTACACACGGACAGCAGAAGCTCCGCTGTGTTCTCAGGGCAGCGACGGGATCCTGGGGCTGGTGGCTCTGCTCTTCTCATTTGAATCCATCCCAAGGCAGGTATTGGCCAAGAGCAGCACAGTCAGAAGCAACCTGTGGAAAATCTGATATTGCATCCACGCCTAGCAGCAGTCCCAAGGTGTATTTTAGCAATGAGGTGTAGATAAGGACCTCCTTGCTCTTCCCTACCATGGCCAACAAGTCCATTTTTCAGGAGCTGAGCTCCCGCAGGGGCAGGAATGTGTCAGAGCCTGTCCAAGGATTGTCTGACCAGCTGTAGCCACCCTGGGTTCCCTTCCCAGCCGGGGCAGAGGCAGAGCTTTCTCTCAGGGATGCCTCATGTAGCCACACGGGATGAGTGCCCCCTCCTCGCAGTGCCTGTTTCCCTGTGTGGGCTGTGGGGGTGGCTCCATCTCCATCACTGATCCATGAAGGATGAGGAAAACCCCACTGACTGGCCCCACAAAGCACACAGAGCTATAAACCCCATCTCATAGCGCTGCCCACTGGCCTGGCCAAGCCTTTAATGCAGAACATCTCACTCCTTCTCCCCCCGCTCGGTTCCCAACCATTGCTGCTGGAGACAGGCAGCCCTGGGTGCGGCCGCTCTCCTGCCTCCTGATTAAAGCCGGGTCCTGCCAGCAGGTTGGGCTTTCCCAGGGATTATGGCTTTCTCATCCCCTCTTCGGGGGTGATGCAAGCGCAACAAGCCTGTGCCTAAATTCGGTCCCACCCCTGAGTCCTCTGCCAGCACAGACTGCGAGGCATAGCCACAGCTTGTTCCCGTGCAGCACCTGGCACAGGTCTCAGCACGGCCTGAACCACACGGGGCCTGGGAATATCAGCTGTTGACAATTAGTAAGTAATAACACCTAGAAGAAAAGCATGCAAGTGACTGAGTTCCCTGTCCAGAACAAATTTAAGGTGTGGAGGGCCTATTGTGGCTGTGACAAAATGACAATCTGCAAAGCAAAGCTCGTTGTCTCTTTCTGTCTTGATTTCAAGAATGGAAGTGCTGGAGCTTTCAGCACATCCCTAAATAACTCAATCCGACAGTTCAACATTCACACTGTTAAAAAGCCTGCCTTGTACTAACTGTGGCTGTCAGACACAGGATCGTTGTAGTGCTTGTTTCTAACAGTCTGGGGGTTATCACAGACTTGTAGAATCACCTAGGTTGGAAAAGACCAACAAGATCATTAGGTCCAACCATCGCCCTGAGCTACGGAGTCCCACCACTAAACCACATCCCTTAAATCCCTCCGGGGATGGGGACTCCACCACTTCCCTGGGCAGCCTGTTCCGATGCCTGACCACCCTTTCCCTGAAAAAATCCTGCCTAACGTCCAACCTAAACCTCCCTGTGGCACAACTTGAGGCTGTTTCCTCGCATCCTATCACTTGTCCCCTGAGAAAAGAGACCAGCACCCCTCTCACTGCCACCTCCTTTCAGGTGGTTGCAGAGAGCAGTCAGGTCTCCTTTCAGCCTCCTCTTCTCCAGACTGAACAACCCCAGTTCCTGCAGTCGCTCCTCATAACTCTTGTTTTCTGGTCCCTTCAGCTGAAGAGATATCTTGTGTCTGAAGGCTGTGACAAAGCGCTAAAGGATGTAGCTTCTGGATGTTATTAGTTATTCCATACTTATGCAATGCATGAATACTTCCAGGTTACAAGGATCCCTGTCAGGACCAGGCTCCTGCTATGCAGGTTTCTGTACTCCATCTTTATAATCTTGAGAGTAGGCAGCAGAGGCTGTCAGAAAGACCTGGTTTAAAGTGGGACTTAAAACTGCAACAATGCGCTGCTAACACAGTCCCTAAACACAAGTCCCTAAAGAGTTTATTCTCCTACTGCCTCCTCTCCCTCCCATCAATGAATCTCTTAGTTTTAGCCAGAAAACTTTTTCACTCCTGCTTTTCTCCCTAGCTCAGCACTGGGCTTCTTTCCCAGACTGAGTTTTGAAGCTAATTTTAAAAAGACTCCATCCCCATGAGACAAGGAAGAGACAGAAGCGCTCTCTGAGATGCCGTGGCGTGTCTGCTGGGACTGCCTTGCTCCGAGCCAAATCTTTGGCAGCGGTGTCTCCACTGAATCAAATGGTGTTGCTTCCAGCAGGACTGCTTGCCCTCGGAGTCACTTTCTGCTTCATTTTCTTCCCAGAAGAACAGGACAGTCACACACAGCACCCGGAGGTCATGGCAGGAGGCAGGAGATCCAGCCTGGGGATGGAAAAGAGACTGTACAGCAGTTCCTCAGGGAGTGGAGTGTGTTTTGAAAGACCAGCCTTGAAGGGTCGTGCATGTGAGGAGAAAGGAGCTCCTTTCCCCCTTCTTCTCATGTTCTCCTCATTTTCTTATCACAGGAGGAGGCTGCTTTCCTCAGCAGTCTCTTATCTCTTCACTTGACCCGTCCTCCAGTTTTATGCAATGCAATGGGGGCAATTATTTTGCCCCAGTCTCCTCCTTCTCCCCCCTCCCAAGCATTTGTCGAGCCTCACCTTTTCTCTTGCCCTTTCCTCTCTCCAGTCTCTCTGTCTTAAATCTCTTCTCCCCCATGCACTTTCTGGTTCTCCTTGCCAATTCAGCGTGCAGGCAAGCTCTTGTGTGCAGCCTTTCCTCTCCACCCACACTCCTTCTCCTGCTGCTGAGACATCACTTTTCTTCCCTGTAACCACATCACCTGCCTCTTGGCATCTTCCACGCATCTTCTGCGGGCTCCCTCTTCTCCATCACATCAGCCACAAGCGTTTGCCTTCACTGCCAGCCCTGTTGGGCTGGTCGCAGTGTCACCCCTTGGTCCAGTGTTGGGTTCCACACTGATGGTCTTCATGGGGAAGGGGATCCCAAGCCCTCTTCAGGCTGAGCCAAGGGCTACCTCTTTGCTGGTAGATAGAAAAAAAAAGACAGGTGCAGCCCAGCCTCACAGCCTGAAAGGAAAAAAAAGAGCCAGAAGAGCAGATAAGGGACCCTTGAGGCTAGGAAGACAGTTTGGGGCTGAACATCCCGGTGAGGCTGAGGTGCCCTTGGGGGCAGGAGGCAGATGTGCAGGTCCAGGAGAGAGGCAGGGATGTCCATTTGCTGGTGGGAGCCACCCATCTGCTCGGCGTGCTGCTTGCTGTCATGCCCATCTGGAGACACCTCAAGCTGCTTTCCACTGCCTTGGGACCGTGCCTAGCTCGGGATACTGCAGAGCAGAGCTGGAGTGGGATATTTAAAAGCATTGCCTCACTTTCACCAGGCTAACCGCATGTGTGGAAATATTTTCTTCTACTGCCCTGATAATTGTAAGCCTGGGATCAGATAAACATCAAATAGCTTAGGTTTAGCTTCAGTTTTCAATCTCCCAGGAGCTTTTTTTTTTTTTTTTTTTTTTTTTTTTACATTTGGGAAACGCAATGTTCAGCCTGCCTTTTGGAGCTGCTGTGTTCTGGCCGGGCTGCGTCTGTGTTTTCATTCCCGTCATCTTTCCTGCACATGACTAACTCTTTCTGCCAGGGCTGGGTGACCAGGCATCTGCCTGCAAACCAAACAAGCCACTTACCCTGTTTCCTGCCATTCCCCAGCCTGTCCAGCCCGCCTCTGTCTCCCCCGGCTGATAACATCACAAAAAATGGCACTGACGTACTTCCTCGCCATGCTACTCAAGTCATCCCCCAGTGCGGGAATGAGTCTTAGAGCCCAGATTATTTTTAGCACTTTTACAGGCTCCTTCTCCGACCTCGGGCAGGAGCTTTCAGCAACCCTCCTGTCCCCTTGCGTCACGCACACTATGGGCTGTATTTGCAATATAGCCTCATGTGCAGATGAGGGTTGATTGAACCTGGGGATTCATGCTTGGAAATCGCTGGAATGATATGAGACAGCTTGGTCTGAAAACACCCTGTGAGCTTTCAGCACCTCGGATTTTTTAAGGTGCTGTTGGCAATACATCGGATCATAGTTGAACTTCTAGGGTGGGAAACTGCACATTTTCTTGACCCTGAGGAACTGCTGTACAGTCTCCTTTCCATCCCCATTATTGTGAGAGCATTAATTTTCCCATTCACTGAAGTAATGCAGCCTTTTGCCCAGAAGAAGTCCAGTGTAGGGCAGGTGATAGCTCTGCTGATCATAAACTTGAGCAGTGTTTTCATTCCCTTTAGACAGATTTTTTTTTTGGTCAGTTCTATGTTTGGTCAGGCATCCAGAGGTGGCTGTGACTGGAGTGTGCGATCCAAGGCTCTCTGCCTTTCTGCCTCCCCCGGGGGAGGTTCTGCCAAGGTGTGCTGATGCTGCACTGCAGGAGGATTTCGGACACCCCATCCAGCTCCAGGAGAGTGCCATTCCCAGGCTCCTGTGTAGCACAGTGCTGGCAGCAATAGCGGATGATAGACACCCCAAAAAGGGGCAGAGTGTGTTCCCAGCGGCATTAGTAACCTGCTGCCTCTTTTTTTCCTCTCCTCTCCCTTCCTCCCACTCCCTCGGCCAGGCTCGTGGCTGGGCAGAGCAGCCCACACCTTCTCCTGGGCGGTGGATCCGACTTTGCAGCATCCCCCTTGGCAGCCCCAGGAAGATTTCTGGCTGCGTCAGCCAAAATTCCTCCCGGGGACTGTGCTGCAATGCAGACACCACACCCCACTGGTGCCACTCAGCTACAGACCAGCACCGCCGAGGGCTTTCCTCCTCCTCCTCCCGATTAGCCCCGATGATTTCGGGTTGGCCGGCATCACCTCCTTGGGACCGCGGTGCCCGCAGCGGGTGTCACTGAGGCATCGCTGGCGTTGGGCGGTGCGGCTGCTGCCTGCAGAAGCGCTCACTCCCCGCAGGGACCAGCGGGTTTCAGATTTCATTTCCCTCGCACGCTACACCCCAATTCCAGACACTTTCTGGCTCCGCCGCTGCATGGACGCAGAGCATGGGTCCTTCGCCGTACCCAGCGCAAGCAGACAGCTCCAGGGAGCGGACCATGAAGGCGCTGATTTTATTTTGGCTTTGCGTCTCGCTTTTCCCCGGCTTTTCCCAGGGCAGAGTCGTGGGAGAGGACGAGGCTGGTTTTGCTGAGTGCAACGTGTTTTTCCCTGGACAAGTCCCACCAGAAGGATTCACCGAGCCCTTCCACGTGAAAATCTGTCAGCAGTACAACAGGGAGCCGCGCTTCGCAACCCTCTACAGTACCAAGGACAAAATCCCTCTTTATTCAGCTTTTAAATACACAAAAGCAGCCCAAAATGAGGAGGAAAGCTGGCTGGTCGAGCCGCAGGTAAGTCAGTGTTTTCTTTGCTGTAAATCAAATATTTTCTGGGCACATTTCATGATGAGAAGCTGTTAGCAGGGGGGAGGATTTTAACAAAATATCCCGGAGCTCCATGGATTTTGTGACCCCCCCCTTTGGATATTAATTCCCCATGGGCAGACCTGAGATATTTTAGTGCTTGGAACTGGACAAACAAACAGTTCCTGGTCCCACAGAGCTTGTCAGGAGAGCTTTTGGGAGGCTTTTGGGTGTGAAACGCAGCGTGGGGGCAAGGAAAGCCACCCCTGCACTAGATATCCCAAATGACACTGCCGGTGGATGACGGGGTGAAACATCTCAGCGCCAAGCTGGAGTTTGCCCTGCTGCCAGCCCTGATAAGAGCTGTTCAGCCTCACGGCATGGACAAAGTGTGTGCTCGTGGCTCACCACCTTGACTCGCAGTGTTACAGCGTGCCCCGGCTGCAGGTTTGGGCGGGGAAGGGAGGTGCCGTGTCCCGCAGCCAGGTGTGTGGTGCAACCTGAGTGCTGCTGCAGCCTCGGTGGGGTTCGCTCCCCTGACATCCACCATGTTTCAGCAGCTCCATGAGTCTGTTATATTGAAAAGGAATCCTTAAAAAGTTGCTAGTGCCCTATGACAACAAGTATGCCTCACCTTAACTCTTCCTTAACTGTTTTTTTCCCTAAATTTCCAGCAGTGATCATTTTGTAGCCACCTTTGCTCTGCTGATCTCAGAGCTGAGGCAGGCGCAGGGTGAGGGCAGGGTGCTGGAGCTGGGTGCTGGGGTGTGGGCGCTGTGTGCAGGCAGGATGAAGTTTAAAGCCATTCCCCCTTGTCCCAGAAGAGTGGCTGTCATACTGGTGGCCCCCTTTTGGGTGATGGGAGAATTTGGGAAGGGGATATTGAGAGCCGGAGGTGTCCCTGTCCTCACCTCAGCCTGGCTGTGTTCTCAGGGCTAGGCTGAGGTGCTCTCCTTCCATCGCATGGGTGCCTGTGAGAGGTGTCCTCTTGCCCTTTTGGGACAGAGGACAGCTTTTAGCAGGCTGCTGCTATAGAGGTGAGGAAGGGCGAGGAGTTTTGAGAGCACAAATTGCACCTAGCAGAGCGAGCACCTGCTGTCAGAGCGAGGGCATAGAGGCAAGGCGGCCAAGATGGCGTCCTTGAGGCCCGTCACCACCTCTGGCCGCCATGCCTCCTCCTGCTCCTCACGGCCTGACTCACCGCCCTGGTGGGCCCCTCACCTTCCCTGCCCACTTCTGCAGCACCTCCCTTCGTCCCGGTCACCCGGCCCTCATGCCTTGACCACCTCGTGGTTGTCCCTGATAACGCTCCTGAGCCCCAAACCTTGTGTGTCCTGCCTCAGAAACTCACCTCAGCCCCAGAAAAAAAATTCTCAGCTCTACATCCCATGAAGGCAGGCTGAGGGAGCTGGGGTTGTTCAGCCTGGAGAAGAGAAGGCTCCAGGGAGACCTCACAGCAGCCTGCCAGTACCTAAAGGGGGCTACAGGACAGCTGGGGAGGGACTCTTTGTCAGGGGATGTGGTGATAGGACAAGGGGGAATGGCTTTAAACTGAAATAAGATGATTCTACCTTGATTTTCTGTGGCTTCCCTCCAGTGAAGCCCTGTGGTATGCTGTGGGGACAGGTTGTTCCTAGCTGACACTCGGCTGTGCTGGTTGGTGACAGTGTGGGATAGCTGGGAGCTTTGAGAACCTCTCTTCCTTGGAGCAAGATGCTCTCACCTCTGCTAAACAGAAAAAAAATCTCCTGGACTCTCTCACCTCCCTCTTTCCTCCTTTGACTGATGTTTTCTGAGTATTTTTTTTTTGCTTGTTTTGTTCTTTTTTGACTCAAAAGCATCCTTTAGCTGACAGCATGGCACACCTTTGAAGGGATGCTCCACATTTTCCCTTGTCTGACTGCTGATTAAGATGTAGATCTGTACTGGGGACCAGTGAGCTCCAGGCGAAAGGAGCCTCACCAAGTGAAACCAGATGTGGTCCTGGACCATGGTGAAGGGGACAGCTAAGGAAAGATCCTGGTATGGGCAGCTTGGAGGAGGCTGCACTGTGGATGGGGACATCGCTGAGCCCTGTGCCTGAAAGCCCCTGTGCCACATCAGGTGGCACTCCTGGGGGAAGAGGGAGCACAGAGCAAAGATCATCTCCCTCCTGCCTGCCCAAATCCCCCACTGGAGCCAGTTTCGTGGTGGTTTTGATCAACAGCATGTAGTGGAGAACTCATCCCTTGCTAACTCAGTGCTGAAGGCCTGATGGGGCTGCAGACTGCCCCAGGTAAGGCTGGGGGGGAGAAAGGAAGGCTGGGGCAAGGCTGTCAGCTGGTGGGACAGGGCTCTTGTGTGCTTTCTGTCTCAGAGGGACCGTGCCTTAGGTGTGCAGCAAGGCTCAGGTCCACACTGATGCAGGAGGGGAAAGCAGAGAACAGATTTTGTACCTATTGTGTGTATTCCTATCAAGGCTAAGCCAGGTAATGAAACCCCTAAAGGGAGCTCTTCACAACACGGGCTCTGTATCAAGGCCCTGAGAGATTACACTGTCTGTTTTCTGCATAACTTCCTCGCTGGGACAGGGATAGCCAGGTACAAACAGGCTGAACTGTGCAGTGGCATGCACTTACTTCTGTGTGCATGCACACCCACACGCAGAGATACAGCGAGCAGGAGGAAATCACTATAAAAATGCTCTCTGCACGCTGGTGCGTGACTCAGGGTTGTCATGTGCTTTTTTTTGTTGTTTTTATAACAGATCATGATCTATGCTGTGAGGGCACTGTCTTGCTGTCTGTATACCTACCTCCTCAGGAATGCATGCACCAGAAACAAATGCCAAATGTGGCAGCGAGGTAGTCATCGGATGAGAAATAAGAGGAATGTCAGCTACACCCAGTGCTGATTGGCGGCTGGAAAATGTGAATTAATCCAGGAACCAGGACTGATAAAAAATGAGAGGCCAGGAGTGTCCTGATGGGCAGGACACTGATGGGAAGCCCCCAGGCTTTGGTCCCCAAACCTGCTCTATTGCTGACTTGTTAGGGTTAAGAGCAAACCACTATGGTGGCTTTCACCTTGTCATGTTTTGGTCGTCTGAAAGCCTGTAGTTTGGTCAGAGTCTTGGCTTGAGAGAGATGGAGAACACAGGAGTTGCTTTTCCTCTCCTAAGATAGGACAGGCTGGGTGAGTCGCCTTGTATTTCCATCTGATGGATGATTTCCATCAGCCAGAGGAGCAAGGTGGGATTTGCATCCCTCAGCCATAGCTACATCTGGGCTTTCCTCTCAGCTTTGGTAGACCATGGAGAGAAGCTGGTGCTCCTGGAACCACCCATGAGCTTCCTGCAATACACACCTCAGCCTCAGGTTCATCCCCCTTCTGCAAAATGGCAACCCCCACTGTACGAAGCCCATTTAATATTGATAGGTGCTTGGACTCCATCCTGCACAGCTGCTTGGATGCATAATTTATTTTTAAATCCCCCTGGGAATGAGGTGTTTGACCTGTCTGCTTGGATCTTGCCCCGAGCCATCGCAGGGTATTTCAGCAGGTGGATTGCAGCCATGGACACAGATCTGCTCTTGCTGCGACACAACCCGAAGGTTTTTTGGGGCAGCGAGGAGAGGCAGCCTGTGTGCAGGTCAGACACAGCGCAGGAGCCAGCCTGCCTTTGGGGCTGAGTTACAGGAGGCACGAAGCACTCAGCAGTGTGTGAGTGATTACAAACCACACCGGGAGTTATTGTAAGCACCGGCGCTCGGTGATGTCAGGGCCTCACGCATGCACACAGCCACATTTCTGGTGTTCTTTCCTAACTGCGCCCAAACAATCCCGGCGGTATGTGCAAATCCCCGCAGCCAAACAGGTAACCGGCCACATATTTGCTTGATAGGCACCTCCAGGAATGCATGCATCAGCTCATAAAGTCAAGTCTACGCCGTCTGCTGCTCGCAGGCTGGGAATCCCTGCGAGGAGGCAGAGCTGGGTGTCTCAGCTCTCAAAACTCCTGGCCAGCTGCAGCCCAGAAGCTTTAGGGTGAGCTCAGGGTGTCTGAGCAAGGGCTGTGGAGCAAGGCAGAAGTCTTGCTAAGTGTTGCCTTCAGAGGAAATTAAGACTTGTGCCTCCGCACGTAGGAAGCCTCCCAGTCCCGAAGCAGGTTCAAAATGAAGCAAGAACCCTCCTAGCAGGCAGCCGGGGGAAATGCAGCCCGCTGACACGGTTTGTGTTGGCACTGCTGTGGGGACAGCCCTGGGGCCAGCCTGCAGGGGCTTGCCTGAGGCGAGAAGCATCCAAAGCACAGTTTGTACGGCGAGGAGGATGGATGGGATGGATAGCTGCCTACACCAAGCGCAGGGGAGGTGAGGCAGGAGCTGTGGCACTGAGGCAATGCCAGCTCCATGTAAGTTTAAAGCACATAAGTAGTGGACATCTGTCTGGTTGCAGGAAAGCCAAGGGACCAGGCAGGATGATGGGGCTGATTCAGGGTAGAATAGGAACCCTTTGCCCTATACGTCTCCAAAATGTGTATGATGTAGTGCAGTGAACTGCACGCAGGAGCCAAGAGAGCAATGTAATCGGGCCAGCACGATGTTGGGAGCAGAAACAGAGACAACACGAGGCGGTGACTGCCGGAGCCCGCCTGCCACCCCTGAGTTGCTGCCAGCATGCTCACCCTCTAATCTGGGGAAGAAAATGACAATTTGGAGAGGCTGCCGTGTCAAAAGGAGTGACTAAGGAGCAGGCAGAGCTGCGGCCACCTGAGAAAGCCCTGAGCACACGGCAGTGCCCCAAATCTTCTACTCCCACCGCTTATTACCTCCTGGCCCGGCTGCGTGCGAGGCGCCAGGAGGGGTTGTTACCGCCTGGGGGTCGGGAGGGTGGGAAGGACAGACATGAGCACATAGCACGGATTCCACCGAGGACCTGCGGTGACAGCGTCCTCGCCCACACGATGCTGGGAGGTCATTAAAGACGAGGTTCAGACTGCTAATGACAAGCCCCGAGCTCGCTGGCACGTCTGCGGTCAAGGCAGTGAAATTCAGGTCACCTGCCACTGTGTCCCACCTATTCTGTGAGCGCAGAGAGGTAAATGCCTTCTCCAGGCATCCTACACCTCATGGATTTTTTCCTTCATTGCTTAGATTTGATGGTTCAGAGACTCCAGGTTGCTTGTTAGAATTAAGGATTGTGGACCTCAGGGTGTGATCCGTAGCGTGGAGTAGCAGCCCTCATGAAAAATACACTTTGAGGCTCATTTTAGCTTTTTTAGGAAGGCAATTGTACACACTAACCCTTCTCTGCCATTTCAGGTGGATGACCCAGACAACGACCAGCAGGAGATGGTGCTCGAGGCTGATCTCGTCGGCACGGTGGCCAACCTGGGTGCCAACCAAGCCCTGACCTCAGACTACATGGGCTCTGGCTACGAGCGGGGGCTGCTGAACCCCAGCCTGCTCAACGAGGAAGACTTCCAGACGGCCACCTACACGCTGACGAACGCCGTCCCCCTGAGTCCATCTCTGAGCAAAACCTGGCACAGGGACGTCGGGAGGGTGGTGGAGCAAGCCCTGGCCCCTCACTGCCCCAGCAAGGACCACCTGTATCTCCTCGCGGGCGCGATTCCTTCCAGCGTCCGTGTCAAGGGCAAGGTGTCGGTGCCCGAGGTGCTGTGGCTGGCGGCGTGCTGTGATGCTGCAGAGGGGTGGTCCTTAGGGCTGGTGAAAAAGACCAGCGATGAAAACAGCCTGGCAGACCTGACAGTGGGCGAGCTGGAGGAGCAGCTCCTGGCAGGGATCGAGCTCTTCAAGGGCAGCTGTGGAGGAGACAGCAAAAACAAGGAGAAAGTGGAAGCGATACTGCAAGCCGTCGGCCAGATCCGGGCCGGGGGACAAGTGGGAACAAACGACAGCCAGGAGTCCAAGGAGAGCGGCTTGGTGAGAAAAGTGGCTGGCATCATCGCCACCCCCTTCATCAAACTCCTGGAGCTCCTCATCTACCTGCTGGTGGAGCTGGTGAAGTTCACATTTTACTTCCTGTGGCTTGTCATCAAGCGGGTGGGCAGCACAATCCTGGACGGAGCCTCCAGCCTGTGGAGCGGGGTGGTGTCCTACCTGCAGGCCATCAGCATGGTGCTCATCAGCATCCCCTACGACCTGGGGAGGGTTGTTGCCAACATCTCCCTGGGCTTCCTGGAAATCGTCCAAGACGTGGCGTTCCTCACCTACAGGATCCTGCGCATCCCCGTGGGGTTCGTCCTCCACCTCGCTGCTTTCCCCTACCACTCCATCTGTGCCATCCCCTCTGTCCTCAAGGACCTGGCCTCTGGGATCGGTGGCACCTTCTCGCTGGCCGTTGATGCCACTGCCACCCTCCTGCACGGCTTTTATTACGTGGCCAGCCACATAGCCAAGCGGTTTGTCCCTAAAGTCTCCTCCGGTGACTGACAGGGAGAGAAACCAAGGCTGCAAAGACGTGAAGTGGATGAGGAGCTCTAGGATAGGTGGCCAAACGCAGTCCGTTTCGTTCTGGTATTTATTGTAGCGACGTTAATAATAATGAACCAAGCGGGGGGAGTAACAGGGAGGGCCGAGGTAACTTTGTCAGGGGACACCACCGCTGCGACTCAAACTCTGTCTATTTTAAAGCACTGGGATCCTGTCGGTGCGGGTCACAAACTTTCTGTGATCTGCAGATACCAAGCTCTGGGGATGCTCTCTAAGCTGTTTCCTTCCCACTGAGAGGGCACCGGGACCTCTGCACCCTGCAGCAGCACATCCCATGGGGTGGAGGTGCTCCTCTGGGGAGGGATTCAGTTTCTGAAAGCTGGAGAAGGGAAAAGGAGGGCAAGGTGCAAGGCTTAGGGGCTGGGCAGCGGGGAGGGAATGGGGCCGGGTCCTGCTGCTGGCCGCACTGCTCGCTTCTCTGGGACCTGCTGGTGGAGCCCAAGGAGGAATTTGGCTGGGTGTGCCTCGTAGCTCCTTCAAGGCAGCTGAAACCAAGCGGATCTGGCTGTGAGGAAGCACCAGCTTCTAGTTCTTTCCTGCAGGGGGAAAGCATTTCCCCTTCGCCATGCCAAGCTCACTTTCCCTGGGCTGTTCCTCGCTCCCTGGGGAGCACTGAGGACCTCAGCCCCAATTCCTCGCCCTGGCTGGTGGGCTCCAAAGCCTGGTAGAACCTCGTGGGTCATGATTTGGGCTTTGAGACACCCCCATCTGCCAGTGACCAGCCTGTCCTGCCCCTGTTCCTCCAACACCCAACACCTCTGTGCTGCAGGATTGTGCCCAGGCGGGGAATTGGAAATGTGGCCATCCTCCTCAGGCGAGTTGGGAAAGCCCAGCTCACTGCAGAAAGTGACCCTCCCATGCTTTTCTGCAGGACAGAAGGAAAGTGGCTGTGCCTTTCTTACTGGTCTGGCTCGGTGGTGTCCTTACCAAAAGGCACCTGGGGAGCAGGGGACAGGAGATGAGCAGGGAGCACGGGGGGAGTTTTGCTGCTTGTTGCCCAAAGCCCCATCCAGCCTGGCCCTGAACACCTCCAGGGATGGGGCACCCACAGCTTCTCTGTGCCACCCTCTGAGTGAAGGATTTCTCCCCCCTAAGGTGGCTGGGGACAGGGGACAACTCGTCATTGCCCCCACCAAGCACCCCGTGTGAGAGGTGCTTCGTGGGGGGGGAAGGGTGGCCTCCCAGCTGGCTTTCTTCATGGGGAAAGGCAACTTTTTGTGCTCATCAGGGCCTGATCAGGTGAAGTCAGCAACATTTGGCAAACCCCTCCTTCGTCCTCAAGCTGTCAGCAGAGGGATTTGGATCCAAGGGGCACGGTCGCTGCTCCCAGCAGAGAGGCAGCCGCCTGCCTTGCATCCAGACCTACCTCTGCATCTAGCAGGCAAACACAACCCAAGCTGGGCAGACGTGGGGCTGTTAAAAGGGTCTGAACACGCTCGGATTGCAGCCGTGACGAACCCTAACCAGCACAGGTCGTTTTTCTTCTCTGCTGCATGTCTGAGCAGGCCATGGGAAATCTGCCTGAAACACCCAGTAATTGTTACAGAACAAGCAACATCCTGCTGCAGACCATGGCTTCAGATCATTCTTATCTGGGCATGATTTATGGCTTGTGAGCTTTACTCTGTCCTAGGAAATGTATGGCTTTAACAAAATAAAAGTTACTTTTCCAAAGGAGGGCTGGTATCACGTTTCTGTCCCAGCTGCAAACAAGATAATGCAGCCCAGCGAGCTCCGGCTAATCAGGGAAGTAAGAGCAGCATAGTCGCTCTTTGTTAAGGCCTGACACCTGATATTAATGGCCCTTTTCTGCTTTGAAAACACCTTTGCATTTTCAAAAGCGCATTTATTAGAGTACGCAGGTAGGAGCTGGGGGTTGCAGCAGACACGTTTCGCTCCCTATGTGCCAAAGGAGGTGTGTGCTCAGACAGCCTGGGTGAGGTGGGGCAGGACGGGAGCAGGGAAGGAGGTTTCTGTGTGCAGGAACGGGGGCAGGATCTGCGTGGAGAGCGGCTCCCTGAGCCCACGTTGGCTGGGGCTTGAGGCAGAAGAGGAAAAGGGGGAGACCGGTCCTCAGTGGCTGCACCCGGGCAGGTCACCTTGGCTGCTTTGCGGCTGGCAGGGAGAAATTCACTCTTGTGGGATGCTGCTGGATACAAGCAGATGTTTAGAAGAAGACCTGTTACCCCTAGGAGCAGCTGCTCTCCTCCACCAACTACAAACCACCAGGGGTGAGTAAGGTGCGGGCACCTCTCAGCACATGGGAGGGGAGCCCTCAGCCACGGGTGACCCAGCAGGGGAAGGGCTGCCCCTCCTTATCTTTATGGGATGATTACGGGCTGGGAGTCACCCACAGGATGGGGAAGGTGATATGTACTGATCTCCCCTCAACCAGCCCACCCAGCCCTTCAGCACAGGAGCTTCTGCGCACATCGAGGCATCCCTTATCGCAGTTATCTTCCCTCTGGGGTTGGGCCCAGAGAAACCAGCCGTGCCCTACAAGCACAGCAGCCCTGGCAGCACCACTCACAGCCCCCAGCCCCGGGCTCAGGTCCTCCCAATCCCTTTTTGGTGCCATTTTACGTTTTGGAGCTGCTCCTCTCTGCAGACAGGGGCTGCTGCATCTGAGCAGGGAGCCGAGCCCTGCTCGTTCCCGAGTCCTCCCTCCAGCTTAGGCAGCGCCAGCAGATGAGGAAGGTATCAGGAAATACCTACACGAGCAACTTGCTTAGCCAGGAAGGATTTCCTGGCAGCACAAAACTCAAGGTGTGCCTGCGGTGTGCGTGACCGCGATACCCTGCGGGGGCACGTCCTCATTTCTCCCCTCCGCACAGCCTTGAACCCGCTTCGATTCGGGAACGTGCCTCGCACCGGGTGACATCTGCCGTTGATTTCAGCAGAAGCGGCGTTTTCCAGCCAAGCAGAAAGGCCTGCGGGTTCCCCAGTGGTGTTAGCATTGCAGCCGGCTGGAAGATCTCCAGGGAAATAGATTGTCAGAGAGGGATGATTTATCAAACAGGATTATTTTTTTTTTTAATTTTCACAGCAATTTGTCTTTTCTAGTGGAAAAGGCGTTTCAGGTCCAGCTTGGAAGAAGGACCAGAAACATCCAAGAGCAGTGCACGGTGTGGATTTGAGGTGTAGACGTGGATGTTCAGCACTTTCTCCTGCCTAAAGGCAAGCCCGGCACGTGAACAGGGCTGTTTCCATCCCAGAGCGGTGCCCGCCTTACCTTCTGTCTCATTTTCTTCCACTTTTAAGTGTGAAAAAAAGAATGTTTTCCTTCCAAAAGTACTGAAATTGTGACCATTTGCTGCGGGCTGTGAAGCTCAGTTTGGGGCTGGTGGCTGAGGGGACTTGGCCGAACCATGGAGACCTTTGAGGTGCCCCTTGCTGCAGACCCCACAGGGTACAGGAGGGAAGGTCACGTTGGCCTGGCTTGTGTGAGTCGGGATGTGTCTGAGAACCTGGTGGCTGTCCTTTATTTCCCTCAGTATTCGAAGTTTTTCTCTTTCCCCATCAGCTGTGGGCAGCTGCAGACGCTGGGCACTGAGCTTGGCACCCCGGGGCATGGCAGTGGGGTTCTGCTCCTCCATGGCAGTGGTAATTTGCACCCAGGTCTATTAATTAGAGCTGGTAGGGATTTCTCTGCCTGAGCTTCTTCTGTTCTTACAGAAAAGCCCCTTTCTGCAAAAATTACGCCTTTCTTGCTTTGTTTTTCTTTTTCAGTATATATACATAAAACAACGGGGTTTAGTTTAAATCTAATAAAAATGTTTTCAATGGATTTTTTCAACATCACTGTGCTGTATTGATCCTCCCCCTCTACTCTGCCCTGGTCAGGCCTTCCCTGGAGTGCTGTGTCCAGTTCTGGGCTCCCCGGTACAAAAAAGACAGGGAAAGAGTCCAGCAGAGGGCCACAAAGATGATACGGGGCCTGGAGCAGCTTCCCTGTGAGGAGAGGCTGAGAGACCTGGGGCTGGTCAGCCTGGAGAAGATAAGGCTGAGAGGGGATCTCATCAACGTGTATAAATACCTGAGGTGTGGGGGACAGAGGGGTTTGGCCAACCTCTTTTCAGCGGTTTCTGGGGACAGGACAAGGGGCAGTGGCCACAAGATGGAGCCCAGGCAGTTCTGCACCAACATGCAAAGAATTTCTTCACAGTGAGGGTGACGGAGCACCGGGACAGGCTGCCCAGGGAGGCTGTGGGGTCTCCTTCTGTGGAGAGATTCAAGGCCTGTCTGGACGCCTCCCTGGGCAGCCTGCTCTGAGGAACCTGCGTTGGCAGGGGGGGTGGACCCGATGAGCTCTGGAGGCCCCTTCCGACCCCTTCAGTTCTGTGGTTCTGTATTGCAGGTGTGAGCAGTTTAATCTTCTGTGAGGTGAGCGATGCAGCCCAACCACATTTCCCATGACGTGCGGGGTGCAGGAGGATCGGGCTCCCCCAGGTGATTCAGCGCAGAGCTCACCCTCTGCTGGAGGCTCCCAGGTCGCCGAGGAGCCACGAGAGATTAGTCAGGTCATGTAGCAAGGCAAATTACACGTCTGCGCTCAGACAGTGTAAAGTCCCCAGCCCAGCTCTTCTGCTGGAGGTTTTGGTGCGTCATGAGAGGCACCAGGCCCTGAGGACAGCGTGGCACAGGTGGCCAGGGCTGGAGCTGGCCCTTTTCTACGGGGTCACTCCTTGCGACAGAAACTGGGGAACAAATGGTCAAATCAAAACCCGATGACTACTAAAACACTTCAGTTTCAGCTAAAATTATTTTTATTTTATATTTTTATTTATTTTATTTTATTTTATTTTATTTTATTTTATTTTATTTATTTATTTATTTATTTTATATTTTATATTATTTTATTTTATATTTTATTTTATTTTATTTTACTTTACTTTATTTTATTTTAATTTTCTACTCGCCACCCCAGCCGGGAAGGGACGGAGGGCTTTTTCCCTTTTGGAGCAGCAGCTTCCTGCAGGTCAGGGATGTCCAAGCTTTGCTCGGGAGGCCTGATGAAAGCCAGAGCACAAAAAGCACACACATGCAGCTTTTAGCTATGCAGGAAATACATATATCCTGTGATTTTCTTATTTTATACATTGAAAAGCACAAAACCAGGCGTATTTACACGAGCTAGTTATGGTGATGGATGAGGCCATTTATAACACCCCCAATCCTGCCTTGCGTCTGTAAGGCCCCCGCTCTGCTCTCCAAGCACCTCACCAGGTTGCTCAGCCACGATCAAATTAAAAGTTGTTGGGGGGAATAAATAAACGAGCGTGCTCACACCTGGCCTTCCAGTTGGGCTGCTTTGGGTTGCATTTTGAAGTCAAGTCACGGGCTGGTGGCTGCACCTCAGCCCATTAGCTGCCCTACAAAGGGGCCGGGGCTGGTCACCAGTTCCTCCCAGTGCCTCGGAGCGAAGAACCCAAGGCTGTGCTGGGAGGAGGCCTAGGAAACCCCAGTAAAAGCTGAAATTGAGCCCATCCAATCTTACGGATGTGACCTGGCTGCAAACTGCCAGCAGGGCAGGCGAGGTGATGCTTCCCCTCTGCTCGGCACCAGTGAGGCCTCACCTCGAGTCCCGTGTTGGTTCTGGCATTCCCAGTACAAGGGAGGCCTGGACGTACTGGTGAGCGCCCAGCAGAGGGCCACCGAGGTGACAAAGGGCCTGGAGCACCTCTGCTGCGAGGAGAGGCTGAGAGAGCTGGGGCTGCTCAGGATGGAGAAGAGGAGGCTCAGGGGGATCTCAGCAGTGTCTGTGAACACCTGAAGGGAGGGAGCACAGGGGATGGGGCCGGGCTCTTGTCAGTGGTGCCCAGTGCCAGGACAGGAGGCTATGGGCACAAACTGGAGTACAGGAGGCTCCCTCTGTGGATCCATGCCCAGCACCGTGTCCAGGAGGTTTCGAACACCTGCAGGGAGACCCCACAGCGATAAACCAGAGATACACAAAAAGCTCCACAGCTTGCATTAAGCAGTTTTGTCTTTCTGAAAGGGCGATCAGCATCTCACCCAGGAAAACCCCTTGGTGGCCCTTCAGCTGCCTGTACCCATGTTCGTGGCAGGACTTGGCTGGTGGGAGGGTGAAATAGTGCTGTAATTCGGCTGCAGCGTGAGCTCTGCATTGCTGTCACCCTCAGCACCCACAATACTGTCAATTGCCCCAGCCTTGATCACTGACAACAACATATTAAAAGGACATCATCTTCAGCAAATGCCAAAGATTTTTCAGGACCTGTGCTTGCAATACAGACCTGGACTAAAGACCAGCACAAGTGCACAGATGAGAAGGACGCTTCAGGACCAGAGCTCTTCCCAAAACACAGTTGCACGTGGTAAATAATGGACCCAACACAAGCCATGTTTTATCAGTTTTATTTAACCAATGAAATTCCTACTGATAACAATGAAAGTAATTTCAGCAAGTATAAATGCGATACAGTTTTAAACAAACCCCATTGTTCCGTACCTATAAATAGATTTTTCAAAACCTCATAAAAAGTGCAGATTTATGAATTGCTGTTAAAATGTTAATACACAATTCCTTTGTTTAAAAATGCGTTTTTTTGTCTCTTAACTCACAAAAAAAAAAAAAAAAGTTCCTTCTGCATCTGTTCAGATAAATTCAAGTCGGGTAACTTAAAAACTAGGAAAGGAAAAAAAAGTCACACACA